TGGGCCTCGCGCTGCGGACGCGACAGGCGGAAAAAAGGCGGGAAGGGCATTTGGCCTCGCGCTGTGGACGCCATAGGCAGAAAAAAGGCGGGAAAGGCGGCTAGGCTCGCGCTGTAGCGGGCAGCGCAGAGCTGTTGGTCACGCGCCGCGGCGGTTAGACCGCTGCGGGCGGGGGCGGGGCTGCGAGGGGCGCTTGAGCGCCGTGCCCCGCCCCCTCTCCTTGGCAGGGAGCGAGGATCGCGCGGGAGGGGGCTGCGCTTGACCATGCACGGGGGCTGCTGGGGGCTGAGCCCACCGCTCTACAGCGCCTCCCTCCTGTCCCTGGGGGTTTTGTTGAACTCCTTGTTTGCTTTGACCCAAGGTAACCGGGGGAGCATGTTGTCCTCACTTTCTGTGGCGGCTTCCCGGCTCTCCAGCTCTTACCCGCGGCTGTGGATGGCAGAGGCACACCAGGTTCTCCCTGTGGCCCTCACTCTGAGATCAGAGATTATAAGGGGCCATTGTAGCCTCCCAGAGCCCCTTATCCCCTGAGATCAGAAATCATCAAGCCTTCATGTTCTGTGTGGGTCACCACCAATACCCCTTTACCTCTTGGCCTCGCTCTTTGCGAAGCCAGACACCTGAAGGGGCCATCCCACTGTCCTGGAGGCCTTCAGTGAAACCCTGGGTCAGGAGTCATTGAGGGCCCCCAAAATATTGGGACAATGGTCTTCACACCCATTTGGGTGAGAGAAGCCCTCGCACACGTATGGGGCCCCAGTGCTCATCAAAAGGGGGGCCGACTCCCTTTACACTGCTCAGTGGATATGGAAACTGGAGCATAGAAACATGGGCCTCACACTTTCCACAAGGTCACTAATGCTGTGGCTTCCCTGAACCCCACCTTTGTCAGAGAAATCAGGGCCTCCTGCAACCTCAGCGGGTGCGCCCCTAACGCAATCCCAGCTGAGGTGAGATGCCCTTCTGAAGTGGGTGTTACATAACGGTAGTTATGGATTCTTTTGTCCCAAAGGCAGATGGGGTGTCTGGGAGTTGGGGGCCCCAGCAAATTATAAAAAAAAAAATTCTTTTCAGAGACTGTTAATGGAAATCTCTAACCTGTTCACTGAAATCTGTAACTATTCAGAGGTGCTGGGGTTGATCAAAGACAGTGCTTGGCATAAGCAGACAAAGCAATTGCTTAAGGACCCCGAGCAACTCACAATGCCCCCCCCCTTAATTATTAGTAGATATTGTATGGGGATGCCCCCCAAAATATTCCTGTTTAGCACCTCCAATGGATTAGCACAAGCACTGCTATTGATTAGTTAAGCGGTGCAAAGCACTTCCTTCACCTTTTGGGCAGAGTGTGCTGTTTCCACAGAACTTTCTGACCTGGGTAGTGAATGACTGGGATTAGAAATTGAACCCAGGACTTTAAACAGCAGAAAATGGTTCAAACCAGTAGGTAACTCTTCTGTCTCCAAATTCCACGTTTTTGTTTATTATGTATTTATATCAGGGAAGTAATGCCCATTCTGTAAATTTCATGCAAGCTTGACAAGTTTTGTAGCTGAGAACTGCAAATTTTTAAACAGCTTCCTTAATTACTTGAACTTTCCAAAAAAAATGTAATATTTAGCCAGTTTGGAGGCTCCAAAGTCAAGACAGGTTTACTACTCGAACAGTAAACAGGAGTCCTTTTTTAAAGAAAAGGATGGAAGGGAGGGGAACTGCAAGAATAAAATAAAAGGGGAAACAAACTACATTTAAATTTTATTTTTAAAATGTTTTTTTAAGTATTACTGTATTTTCTCTACAGTGGAAGCTGCAATTGATGAAGAACAATATTCTGTTAAAGTAATTAAAAAGAATTACATTTATGGCAACATCAAACATCAAGGTGATTATTTTTATAGTTAAGATCTAAGTAAGCATTTGAATGCAATATTAATACAAATATAATAAATATAGCAATAAAGCATATAAACTAATGTACATATGTAGGTGACTGTGGCTGTGTTATTAAACCAAGAATTTCAAATCCTAATTATATAGAAAATTACATAATTCTTCAAGCATATAAACAGGAAATGGATATCATAAAATAGGTAACTAAATTTTTTACTTCAAATTATTCCCAACTGGAACAATTCAATTACTGTAATCTGAAAGCTGTCAACAAATCATAGCCACTGTGCAATAAAGGACATTGTAAACAGAAAGATTTTTGAATTAAGTGATTGCACGGAGCAGTAGGATGTGCACTTAATGGGTTTTTATATAAAATGAAAAAGGTATTGGCAAAATGATAATTCATTCTACAAGCTATCAACATTGCACAATCTTGGAGAGTCTGTTTTCAGTAAGGACTGTAAGTCAAGTATGTAGAACTGTGTTTTGGCCTAGGCTATAATGTTTTTAACTGAATCACAGTAAAAGAATGATAAAAGAGAATAATTATGTATTTTTAATCAAAGGACGGCGTATACATTAGACATGGTTCTGGTGTGAATTCCTTAATCAGGGTCCCATTCTGACACACATGGAGGTGGGTTTGAGAAAAAACTTGTTTTGAGGTAAACGGTGTTTAAAAAGCCTTTGTGCCAAGGTGCAGAGAGTCCAAACTGCTCTCTAAATACCTGTTTGCTACTACATGGTGGGTAACTTAGAGTGGCAGAGTATTTGGGGATGGCGAATGGTCATGCCTGGTGGGAAACAAGTACAGTTACTGGCATAGTACCATTGATGGAAACCTGTTACACACCCAACAGCAGTGGAAAATGTATTTATTCCATACCCATTGTAACAGATCCCACAAATTCTGTACCTGGGATATAGAGTAGGGCTATAGCTTATTCATTTCCATATGGATCCAGTCTGTACTTGTTCATTTCTTTCCTTTTTGTTCATTTACCAGATTGACCCCATAAAGTATCTGATTGGTCAGCACAGTTAATAGAATTCATATAATAGATTTATTCTACAAAAAGTTTAACACCACATGTTTACAACTACCTATTAAAGTTACAGTGGAAACTGATTTAGAAAAACTCTAAAGAAGAACTTTAATTTGGGTGGGAGGTGAGCCAAAGTCAATGGGAGCACAATTTATTATTTAATGAGAAATTAAATAGATCATATTAGAAAAATGCCCTTGAATCTTTGTTTTTCAGGGGTGTAAAATCTAAGGGCTGACAGTGGTCAATTTATTGTATTTTAGCACAAGCCTTTATTATATTAAAGCATTAACCTTTATCAGAATACACCATGGGAACAACATGAGCTGCTGGCGATTCCAACAATACTATTCCCATGATGCAGAGCTGTGGTTTAACAAACACTTTCCCCCTTTCCCCACTATAGAATTTTGTAAGCATTTAATGTCAGAATAAGAGTTCAGGAACTTCTTGCCTTCTCACCACCTCAGCTGCAAACTGGAAATCTGATATTCTTAGGCTGTCAAATCTTTGGGACTGGGACCATGTTTTCCAGTATATCTGGACAGTATGAAGCACATTGTGGACAGTTCCACAGTACTAAAGAATAATAATAATAAATAAGGCCATTAAGAGATTAGTGTAATGCTGAACTAATTTTGCAAGTTGGACCTAAAAAAGTAAATAATTAAATAATGTATATGTATATATAAATTGATATTTAGTAATTTCATTCAGTTTCAGCATTGCTGGTTATTTAATTAATTCTCTTGTATTGCAGTGAACATTTATGTTAAAGTGTATACAAATAGTCCATTTCTAGTATGCATGGATTTGGCACTTTCTCAGAAAGAAGTAATAGATCCAAACTATTTATGGATTGGACCCAATGGAAAGAATCTAAAAGGCAAGTTACTTTCTCCTCATTACAGTTTATATACAGTCTTACTGGTTCCATGTTTATTCCATCACCTACTAACCCACAGAATCTGATTTTTATGAATATCACATAACTAGAAGCAATCCATATGTAATGGCAAAAATGAAAAATTCTGTTGAGATCTTTGTTTTCTGTTTCTCTACTCTTTTACAGAAAAATAATAATTCCATCACTAATGGTTGAGTAGATTTCAGTATTCTGTATGTGAGATCACGCTTTCTAAGTTTTTGGTGATCCCTATCATCAGTGAGATGGTGTGACTTGTGGGTCATATTATCCTATGTGAATTTTTTCATGAGTGCTTTCATTAACCTTCATTTCTTTAAGCCATTTTCCATAAGAAATAATAATGTGTGATTAGTCAGAATTTGTTTTGAAGCTCTTCCTGATTTCCATAAAGAAAGGAGGTAATTTTCTTCACATAACTGACACAGATCTATAAAGTAGATTAAGGAGGCAGGGCTGGGGATTGAATATCCAATCAGGCACTTAGGGGGAAACTGAAAGCACTATTAAAAATCACTGCTTGGTAACCAAATGAGTGAGAGATTATGGAGAAGGTGGAGCTCCACGCCTAGTGGGCTGGGTTGTTGTTTGATTTGGGATTTTTCTGTTTCAATCTATATTTTCCTTTTTTGTTGCTGTTAACTAAGCACAGACAGGATCAAGAATAAAACTGGAGAAAAGTTTCACTTGGTAAAAGACTTCGTAGCTGATCCAGTTGGCCCACTCCATCAGTTTACAGATGTAAACACACAAACATTCCCCACTCCACTAGTTTGAACACCAACAATGGTACTATGAATACCATAAATGAAAAAAATGAATTACTTTTTAAAAAACTAAGCAGTTTTCACTTATATAATATTAGTTGGATATTCACTTTATTAACATATCAAGAGCATATTTTCACCTGTTCTTAAGTTGTCAAAACAGTTGATGCTGTGAAGTATTCTCACCAAATAAATACACAAAGCATGATTTGTACTTTACTAAGGGATGTAAAAACATGACCTTTGATATATATTTAAAGGCTGTTTTAATATTTTTATTTATAAAGTGTTTATTTTTTATTTTGATATGTAGCAATGCTAAAAGCACTCCCATCTTTATGTTCTCAGCACACTTAACATAACTTAAAAATACATCTTAAGTGCAATAATTTAAGATAACCTGCTGCAAATCCTCCTTTCTGTCAAATAATTCTGGACCCCTACAATTACATTCCCTCTTCCAAATTTTCAAATGCCTGAGGGAAAAAATGAGATTTGCAACAAGTTCTGAAGGTCATTAGATTCAGACCAACATCTATAAGTAAATTGATATATTATTTACCTTTACATAGGCATATCTTCTCTCATCTGTTAGCATACTACATAAATTATGCATCAATATTTTTCCAATATTAATCAGGTAGTTTCCTGTTTCCATTTTAGGACAAAGTTACGTCAATCTCACTGAAACAGGAAAACTGATGGTGAGAGGTTTTCAGGAGTTTATGTCTGGATCTTATACTTGCACTCTTTCTTATAAAACCATCAACACTGACATACAAGAAGAGAGAGAGAAATTTAAGACATATAAATTTATGGTATATGGTAAGACCATACAGATTTGCTGGTACACTAGTGCATGTGATTTTTCTGAATATTGGTTTATTAAACACAATTAGTTATCACTGTACTCCAGAATGTAAGTTACATTTTCAAGCACCTTGGTGTTAAACATCTTTATTATTCTAAATACCTATTTTTGAAAAGTCAGTTCAATACAACTTTGATTTCAATCAAATCAACACAACTGCCAAGAGCATGTGGTGATTGTCCTTGAGAATGAAATAATCTTTACCTTTGGGAAAAATAGATGAGGTCATTGCCTTCTTCCTGCCATCCCCCAAAGGTACCCAAGGTCAGAAGAGGAGGCTCTGGTGTGGCTCCAAAGAGGTGTCAAAGATGGGCCTCTGTCCTGGTCTGATCTTAGTTGATGACATATGTTACAAGTGGTGGAAGGGTGACAGATCGTGCAGTTTAGCAACCCCATCATTCTCCCAAAAACAATTATAAAAAAATAAATGAAAGGAGAAAGAAACAGATGTAATTTCTCTTTCCAGTCATACTTCAAAACTCTCCACCCTAAAATGCAGGTACATGAAGTACTTCCTTTAACAACTTCTCATCACATTTCAGTTATGTCTACTTTTTAAGCAAGTGCACAGGCTGAAAAATGGCCATGTTCTGTAGATATTTTGACATATAACATTTTCCTATGTTTGATATTTAGGCACATAGTCATATAAAAATATAGTGCGTACACATACAAAAATTCTTGTGCATATCAAACTAAATTAATAGTGTAACACCATTTAAGTCAGGGAAGCTATATTAAGGATGCATTTGGCCCATCATGCTTAATAAGTAAACAAATTGGTTTGCCTCTAAATAAAAGTCTATTTAAGATATAAGGTACAAAGAATAGTACTGCATAGGAAATATAATATGTGTGGGACAGACATTATATTGCATGTACTTATGTGTATACTAATTTTTTTAAGCATATCGGGAGCCTGACTACACATACCAGATATCTGTTCGGTTTACTACAAAAGAGTGCAGACTAGCAGCTAATGGTCAATTCTTTGAAGAGCTGAAGAAAATCTTGAATGATTTAATCTCTGATTTGACATGTCATGTTATAGAACCATCATACAAATGTCATGTCATCAAGATACCAAAGCATGGCCTCCTGGATGAGCTATTTGTTACTTTTCAAGGTAACAGATTTAAGCATTTGTTTAAGAGGTAATGTTACACTGTTACTTTATTAACAAAAGAGTTAAATTAAGGACAATATACATAACATTTGCAATTATATCAGAGTCATGTTCCCTCGTATGTTGCTTCTCCGCTTTTCTTCAGAATTTCTGTGTTTTTTCTTGTTAGCCCATAGATGGAGCTATAATGCAGCTTATGAGTTAGCTGAATTTATACTACTATACTTTTTACAACCTTACTGGCAAAGGTTATTCTCTAACAGGGGTGTTGTTTGCAAAGGGCCTTGGGAAACATAGGAACGGCCATACTGGGTCAGACCATAGGTCTGTCTAGCCCAGTATTGTGCTTTCTGATAGTGGCCAATGCCAGGTGCTTCAGAGGGAATGAACAGAACAGGTAATCATGAAGTGATCCATCCCTGTTGCCCATTCCCAGAAGATCATTTACCAAAGTCCGGATATAGTTCATTTATGATTCTTCATGAATGTTGTAATTCTGTCAGAAAAATGATCAGATTTATCTTTCTTCCTATTTTCTTCTTCTTGTTTCTTGCCACTTCCTTATTCGGAGTTGGCAACTTTTATAGTCTTTTTCCGAAACTCATGATTGTACACCTGGTTGTCATGCAAATTAGTTTTTCTAATGTCCACTGTTATCCGGTCCATATACCAAGTCTTTGGCCTTCCCCTTGGTCATCTTCCATCCATGATCATTGCAAGGGCCAGCCTATCAACATAACTCTGAGGTCTCCATTGGACATGTCCCGACCAATGTTGCCTAGCCTCCCTCAACTTGTCTTCATTTGGGACAACCCGCATCATGCCCCTCACAACTTCATTTCATTTCCTATCATGGAGTGTGCAACCGTTTTACCATCTCAGCATCTTAATTTCTGTGGTGGAGAGCATACTGATTTATTTTCTTGTGCCTGGCCAAGTCTCTGTTCTGCACATTTGGATGGGTAGAATTATAGTTTTACACTCTACCCTTTAATTTTATTGGCATCTTTTATCACAGATGACTGGGGTCAGCTCCCACCATTTGCACCAAGCAGCTTTGGTATAGTGCTGGACTTCACTCAGAAGGGCACTATTATCAGCAACCAGTGACCCTATGTATTTAGATTCTTTCATTTGTCTAAGCTCTCTGCCTGTAATATCCTTTATGGTGTGTCCTCCTCCCTCAGTTATAACCTCAGTCTTGCTAACATTCACTCTAAGTCCTGCCTGCTCTGTGTTGCCACTGTTCAAAGTTGGATTTCAGGGTCTCACAATCTTTCGCACAGATCACTGAGGCCATGTCTACGCTACGGGGGGAGATCGATCTAAGTTACGCAACTTCAGCTACATGAATAACTTAGCTGAAGTCGATGTACTTAGATCCACAGTACTCAATATTGACTGGAGATGCTTTCCCGTTGACTTCCCTTTCACTTCTCATTCAGGTGGAGTACAGGAGTCGATGGGAGAGCGATCGGCGGTCGATTTAGCGGGTCTAGACCTGCTAAATTGCCTTCCAATGCATCGATTGCCGCACATCGAACCCCCAGTAAGGCCAATGACAAGGCCTGAGTCATCAGCGAACAGCATATTCCAAGGCAGCTCCCTTCTCTTATTCTCACTTATCACATCCAAGGCAACTGCAAACAAAGAAGGATTCAACGCTGACCCCTCCTCCCCCAGTACAGCTAAACATTTACTGCTGTAGCAGACTACTATGGTAGTCACTCCATCAAAAATATCCTGAATAAGGCAACATATCCTTCTAGCACACCTCTCCATTGCAAATTCCACCAAACTAGTTTTCTTGATAAACATTCATACACCTTCTCCAAGTCCACAAAGGCTGCGCCCAGTTGCTGTCTCTTGTCTCTGAACTTCTCCATGAGTATTCATAGAGCAAATATGGTATCAGTTGTACCCCTTCCCAGCATAAATCCATATTGACCCCTCCAAATCTCAAGTGTTCTTCTCAGATGCTTTTCAATAATCTTCTCCCATACTTTCACACCATGTGATGTCAGCTTAATCGGGCCATAATTAGCATACAGTATAATATCTCCTTTGTGTTTAAAAATGGACATCACGAAGCTTTTATGGCATTCATCCAGCATTTTCTGTTTCTTAAGGATATCATTGAACAGACTTGTAAAATATTTGATGCTGTCCCTTCTAATTTACTTCAGTGCGTCCACCAGTACTTCATCTAGCCTACGTGCTGTCTTCTTTTTCATATTCCTCGGTGCCTCTACAACCGCTTACTCCTGTATGAAATCTGTTATGACCTGGCTCTGCTTACATGTTCTTAGTTCCTCCTGTGAGTTCTCATTTGTCACTTTTTCAAAATAATCACTCCAGACATTCTTGATTGATTCACCATTTGTTTGCAATATGCCATGTTTATTTCTAGTATGTACAAACTCACATGAGCATTTTCTTTCTTGCCTTAGCGAGTTTTTGGACAGTCTTTTCTCTGTCATATCCTCCTAGTTGATTATATAGTTTGTCACAAGCCAAATTTTTAGCTGTGACAACACTTCTAATGGCCTCTTTTTTCACCTCCTTATACATATCATTGCTCAAGCTACTGGCCTGCCATTTTAAAAAAGTTACCTCTTTCTTATCCACAGATTTTTTTAACCTGAAGATTCCACCACCAAGTCTTCCTTCTTATCCTTTTTGGCACTGGTTTAATCAATCCTAGTACTTCATATGCTGTTTCTAGCAACGTTAACTTTAATTTGTACCAGATATCCTCAACAAATCCCTTTGTGAGTCAGGAAGTCTGTGATTATTTCTTGTTTAAAGATTTTTTTAATTCCCATCTTTAAGTTTCCAATGCTTAGACCTTTTTGGTGCCCAGGGTGTTTCCCTGGTGTTTCCAAGGTTTCTACATTTTGAAGTCCATAGGGATAGCCGACCCATAATGCTCTCTGTAGGTGTCATGGCACTGGGGAATTAATGAGGTACAGGGACACCTCGGACACATTTTCTCTTGACTGTGTATCTGCCCTACATGAGGAGAATTTATCCGATGGGACCTGCAGTTGCTTTGTGGCAATTTTTCATCATCAGAGTGAATGAATTACCCCCCCCTCCCGCCACCCATGTTCACAATGGAGATAGGACCCAAGCCTCAAAGTTCAAATCTGGATTTGGACCTTTCCATAGTTTGAAGTTATTTGTATATATGGGGGTTTGAGTCTGTCCCATCTCTATTTTCCAGATCTTTTCTCTTATCATTTAATTATTTTGTTAGTGAATGACACTAACGTCACTGGATAGGACTCGTCAGGACCACTCCTTTTCCCTCTTATTAATAAATGATACCACATAGTTTTTTCCAGAACCTTGTATCTCTCCAGTTCTCCGTGACCCTTTAGAAGTAATTATTAAGCATTCAGAATGTTCATTAGCTAATACTTTTAACATCCTAGAATGCCAAGCCAGCTAGACTACTGATTTATACATGTTCATGTTTTCTTAGTATTTCCTTACCTGCTTTTAATCAGTCGGAGGTAATCGAAGTTGCCTTTTCTTTCTGATTATCCATTTCTCTTTATTTTTATTCTTAAAAACTCAGTTAAGTATCTTGGATCACAGGAACAACGGTTATGAAAACAATATCTTGACCACAGAAACAAATGTAATAAAATGATTCTTCCTCACAAATTTGAGGCAAAATAGAGAGTGCCTCTGCTCTTGCGTTGTATTGTAATTGCATAAAATTAATGTAATATAAAGATAAGAAGCAGCAACAGTATGATGACTGGCGTTTGCATGCCAATGCTTTGTAAAATAAATCTCCAAATGAAAGACACTCATTTCAGGATGCTCCTTTGTAATGTATTTTTCAAGGTATTTGTGATGAGCTATTACAAAACAGTTTTGCCTTTATACCCTTTCTCCTTTTCTCTATAGTAAATCCTTTTGCCCCAGGATGGGAAGCAGTTTGCCAACAGATTTCTTATGACTGTGAAGATGTAACCAACAGAAGAGTTCAGGAGGTAGGATTTTTTTAATACAAGCAATAAACGAGTGACTATTTTAGAACTCAAAATGAAGGAAGGAGCCGCTGCCGGGGGGGGGGGGGTTTGTAAAATATGGACTACAAAGTTAGTTAAAGGTGAAATTTACTTTTCCCTGTACAAACCCTAGATAATTGGGCTTTGTGCAGGGAAGTCTCGAAGAGCAAGCGCAGCATGGAGAAGGAATTTATTCCATCAATCCACAAGCAGACCGTGGTGCTTTGGTGCAGCTATTCTATATGTGGTAGGGAATAGTAGCCATTGCTACTCCATGTTTCCTATGCAGATACTTTAGCCCATTGGATTCATGTAAACGGGAACTAGAGGCCCCTCCGCACATCCATCCCCAGTGATCCCCTATGTAACCAATTTTGGACCATTGTGGAATGTTTCTCCCCCCCCTTATTTAAAAGGACATGCAGATATCCATGCAGACGTCCCACTCTTAAGTACTTTTCTTTGTATTCAGGGTAGTCTGTCCACCATTGTATTCAGTGGATCAGTAGGGTTTAAGTGTTCTAGAAGGCTCTGATGGTCCCTTCATGCTACAGTGAATTTCACCATTAGTATCTACAGATTTTGACTGGTTGCAATCCACCCTATGCAAAGAGCAGGAATGTATATGTTATGTCTGGATTTTAAATAGTTCAGCTCAAGATAGAAAACTGTATTTAAATGTCATATTTATCCAAAATTTGCTGAGGCTAGTGTTAATGTTTCTTATACATTTACTTTCTAAAATATGAAATTATGAAAATTAGCAATATGTTAACATGTACTGTATTTTTTTATTTCAGTTTTCCTAGAACATAGACCTTTGGATTATGATTTGGTAGCTGTAATACAGTTTAAAAAAAAGTGTAGCTTCTGTTTTATATATAGTTCATTTAGCTTCATGGTGATTGTTTATGATATACATTATAAAGCCCTGATCCTAAGCCCACTAAAGCCAACGGAAAGACTCTGGATCAGGATGCAGTACAGTAGGTCCAGGATCAGGCCCATATTGCATATCATACATATTCAAGCAGAATTAGGACAAAATATATTTATTGATATATCTAATCTACAAAAAACAAAATCCTAGTGTCATATTTATCATTTAATTGTTCCTAAATTTTAGGCAAGAGATCTCATTGAAGAATTTTTCCATAAACAAACATATGTTCTGAAGCACGAGTTTCGGAATGTACCTGCAATACATTATATAGACCATAGTTTTGAAGTTACTCGCATTGACAGCTGTCGTCCAGGTTTTGGAAAAAATGATGACACCCACAATGACTGCGCTAGTTGCTGTGGTAATTATAGAAAAATAAAGTATCCATATTTTTTAGCAAGCAATATAAAGATTATTGCATATTAACCCTGCTTACAGTTTTTCTACCATATATATATTTTTTTAATATTGGTGATAAAAGTAAGTGTACTGCTGTTTATCTTTTGGAGAGGCATTGAGATTCTAGGTGACAAAGTTGGCAGGAATTGAAACAGCCAAGAAAAAAGTGTTGATAGTATTTGATACATATCATACTGTAATAAAGGCTACCGCTGCTGTCATTAGCCCATCTGGAAATATGGCTAAATGACTTTCTCCTTTTGCTCTTAGATCAGTTATAGGATTCAGGACAAAGGATCAATAAGAAATTGTCACTCTAATAGTACTGCTATTTTAAAATAAATGCTCAACTGTTCTAGGAGTTCGCCTGCTACCAGTATCTATTTCTGAATTTAGGGTTACTGGAGGCAGGGCGTTCTCAATAGGTCTTTAGTTCTTGCGTTCAGGCTATGTCTTCACTATGCACCTCACAGCGGCCCAGCTGCGCCGCTACGGCCACGTCACTGTAAGGTACGTAGTGTAGCCACTCTTTGTGGGCTCTCTTGCCCACAAAATAAAACCACCCCCAAACAGGGACGGTAGCTTTGTTGGCAAAAGTTTTACTGACGAAAGTGCAGTGTAGACATAGCCTCTGTTTGTGTTGGCTTTCAGTACACAGTCCAAAGGCTGTCTGTTTAAACAGCGGTTAGTTAGAATTGAGTTATAGAATCATGGAAATGTAGGATTGGAAGGGACCTTGAGAGGTCATCTAGTCCAGCCCCGTGTGCTGAGGCAGGACCAAATATATGTAGACCATCTGGACCGGTGTTTGTCTAACCTGTACTTAAAAACCTCCAATGTCATGGATTCCACAGTTTTCCTTGGAAGCCTGTTCCAGTGCTTAACAAGTCCTATAATTAAGGCTAAAATTTTGTCAGGGATATTTTTAGTCGAAGTCAGGGACAGATCATGGGCAACAGACAAAAATTCACGGCAGCCCGTGGCCTGTCCCTGACTTCGACTAAAAATATCCCTGACAAAATGGGGAGGTGGATTCAGCTAAGCACCTACTGCTGCTGAGGCTCTGGGGTCCCCTGCCACCTGCAGCAAGTGGGAGCTCTGGGGTTCCCCACCCCTCACAGGGGCTAGCCTGCTGTTGGGTCCTCTTGCCCCCCCTCCCCCCCTGCAGTGCCTGAGAGCTCCTGGGGGTCCCCCAGCCGTGGCTGGGCAGCTTCGGGGTCCACCCGCCATGGTTGGGCAGCTGCGGAAGATCCCCTTGCCGCCCACCGCAGCTGGGCAGCTGCAGGGTCCCCCCGCAGCCTGCTGAGGCTGGGCAGCTGCGGAGCGTCCCGTCCCCCCTGCGGCTGGGTAGCTGCGGGGGGTTTCCCTGCCACAGCTGGGCAGCAGTGGGGGGGCTGCCCACCCAGATGCAGGGTCCCCATGCTGCAGCTGGGCAGCTACGGGGGGGTTCCCCTACCAGGGCGGGGACTGGGAGCTGCAAGGGGGCTGGCTGAGAGCTCCAGCCCCAGGGCAGAAAATGTCACAGAGGTCAATGGAAGTCTCGGAGTCCGTGATTTCCATGACCTCCGTGACATAATCGTAGCTTTACTTATAATTAGAAAGTTTTTCGTAATATGTAACCTAAATCTCCCTTGCTGCAGATTAATCTGATTACTTTTTGTTTTAGCTTCTGTGGACACAGGGAACAACTGATTATTGTCCTCTTTACAACAGCTCTTAACAAATTTGAAGACTTACCAGGTCCCCTCTCATGCTGCTTTTCTCAAGACTAAACATGCCCAGCTTTTTTAACCTTTCCTCATAGGTCAGGTTTTATAAACTTTTTATTATTTTTGTTGCTCTCCTCTGGACTCTCCAATTTGTCCATATCTTTTTAACCCTAGGTGTGGTGCCCAGAACTGGACACTACTGCAGCTGAGGCCTCACCAGTGCCAAGTAGAGAGGGACAGTTACCTCCTGTGTCTTACATATAGCACTCCTATTAAAATATCCCAGAATATTAACCTGTTTCACAACTGTATCACATTGTTGGCTTGTATTCAACTCCAGTTATTCCCATTTTGTAGCTGTGCATTTGATTTTTTCTTTCTAAGGGTAGTATTTTGCACTTGTCTTTATTTAATTTAACCTTTTTGATTTTAGACCAGTTCTTCAATTTGTCAAGGTTGTTTTGAATTCTAATCCTCACCTCCAAAGTGCTAGCAACATAAAAATGGCCATACTGGATCAGACCAAAGATCAACTGTTAACCCCTCCCAAACTGCTGTCATCCGCAGATTTTATAAGCATACTCTCCACTCCTTATCCAAGAAATTAATGGTAATGTTGAATAGTACTGGACTCAGGAGAGAGAATGCCGTAGGATCCTACTAAATATGTTCCCCCAGATTGACAGCAAACCATTGATAATTACTGAATGAGTATAGTCTTTCAACCAGTTTTGCATCCATCTTATTGTAATTTCATCTAGACCATATGATCCTAGTTTGCATATGAGAATGTTCTGTGGGATTGTGTCAAAAGCTTTACTAAAATCAAGATATATCACATCTGTAGTTTCACACCATCCACTAGGCTGATATTGTTTTTTTAACCAGCTTATAGTTTGAACAGGTTGTATTTTTAAATTCTGAGTTTACCCAAAGGCTATGCAATACATATATGTTTTATATCTAAAAAAATAAATAGCTAACCCTCCAGAAAATCTTTTCAGGAAAGTGAGGTTGGGGGGTATTTACATGTCACTAGTCATTTCCAACAGTCACATCTATTGCTCATGGCAACTGAAATTTGCAAGGCAGCCACCTAGAGTCAATGTTACACAATGTTAAGCAAAGTAAATGTGCATTGCTGGATCGGGCCAAAGTGCTCAGCCCCTGGATTGAGTCCTTAATTTCTGATCAGACTTTTGGTTCAGGCTACTGTGTTATGAAGTGAAGCTAAGTGTGTTGATCTCAGAGAAACTGAAAAAGGCATTCTATAATACAGGTAGAGTTATCCTACAGGGTATGTCGGAATGGAGCACTAAAATATTAATGAAAAGTAACTGATATAAAATATATTAAAATTAAGAATATAGTTGTCCTTTATATGATCACTTAGCTCCATATGAAATATTCAGCATGCAAAAATATAACCTGGAGCTAGTTTAGTGATCTGCTGAATGTCCCTAATACACGTTTGAAAATTCCATAATGTGTATAACCCAGCCCAAGGTGGAAGGCATCTGACTGAAATACTGTATATTTGTTTGGTTGCAGTGGTTTGTGACCCTGGAACATACAGTCCTAACAATGAAGTGAGATGTCGGATTTGTACAAGCATTCGAATCAAACACTATGGAGCAAAATCTTGCTAATAAACTTAAAATAGAAATTGGAAAACTGAAGAAAACTTGTGAAAGCATTATTATTCTTTTGTGATGTCCCTTTTTTTACCTCTAATCCTGGGGCTCTTATATTTCAATAGCCAATCCTCTTAAGATTTATATAGCTTTACATTTTCTGTAGTCAGGAACCACTTGTGGATAGGGATTCTAAAAAATGTCTAGTATAAAATGTTCATACCGGGGAGAGTAACTCAATGGAAAACAAAGAATGCAAAGAAAATTATGAGTATTAATATGTGGTTTTTACAGAAAAGTCTCTGGTTTGTGGTATTGACACTGAACACAGCATAGCACTGTACTTTAAATAAATGAAGGAGCCATTAACAATTCATGGAGAAGTGATATATAGTATAGCGCAGGGGTTGGCAAGTGGTGTGCCGAGTCTTCACTTATTCACTCTAATTTAAGGTTTCACGTGCCAGTAATACATTTTAACGTTTTTAGGTCTCTTTCTATACGTCTATAAAATATAACTAAACTATTGTTGTATGTAAAGTAAATAAGGTTTTTAAAATGTTTAAGAAGCTTTATTTAAAACTAAATTAAAATGCAGAGCCCCCCGGACCGGTGGCCAGGACCCGGGCAGTGTGAGTGCCACTGAAAATCAGCTCGCGTGCGACCTTTGGCACGTGTGCCATAGGTTGCCTACCCCTGGTATAGCGGAATGATTGTAGAAGCATATTAATGTGTTATAATGCTTTAAGTAGAAGTCCATGTACATTAATGTTTGCTAGAAATTACTCTTATAGGCTGGAAGTACATATTTAACCTCTATAATGTAAAAATAAAACTATTTATTGTATTTCCTTTTGCTTTTTGTCCCTTTTTGTAAAAAACATGGTTGTTACAACTTTCCTCTTTGCATATGAACTCCTTTTCAAGTCAGGGAGGTTGAAATAATTTATATTAATATATTGTACTGAGTTTTGCTATGAGATATAGTGTACCAATATTATTAGCCATGCAAGCTAAATGTTTCAGAGCATGTTGTTAGAACTCATTTATAAACCCCTTTAAACACGGAATCTACAATGAAAACTCTGGCAGATTCTGTGTAGCTAAAATATTAATTTACTATACTGAAAATTTCACAGTGCTATACAGAAAGGGTTTCCAGACCACATCTAAGAAACTCAAAACAAATTCCAGAAAGTACCATCTGCTTTCATCAGCAATGTGAAAAAGTCTCCCTGCAACCACAGTACCAAATTCAAGGGGGATCATCTCCATTCTTCATCTTTCTAAGACAGACAAATTATGTTTTGTGTTGTTTAATGTAATGGACATGTCTCTTGGAGATCCTAAAAAGCGAAGTTCTCTGTAGATATTAAAGATCAAATCACAATTTTTGTAAGAGTAGAGATTTGCCAAGAATAAAAGTGGTTATTTTCTTTTAACTTTAATTCACTGTGAAAGTTCCTGCACATTTCTTTATCAAAGTGAAATCTCAGCATTTATATTGTGCCTGCAATCCTTCCATTCCAGCCTACTCTGCAAAGTTAGGCAGTATGATGGTTAAAACACTGGCAGCCAGTTGAGCTTCCACCATTGCCATCACCAGTGGGATCTATGGTAGTGCAACAGTGTGGAAGTTTTAAAAAAAAGCTTAATGTAGAGTAGGTCAATGACAGCTGGTAAGACAGTTTTTCTGGTTGTTCGTTTTTTAATAAAAGCTTAGATTCCAGATCACATATCTAAGGCAAGATATGTTAGCAAATTCCACAGTCCTGGAATCAGGAAACATAAGGAGCCTGTTTATATGACTTTTATGTTGTCTGCTGCTTCCATCGTGCTTTCAGAAACTATATTATAAGCAAACAAAAAAGGTGCTGAGCATTTTGATCTCCATCTGCTTTCTTCTGTAGCTATTTTTTCTTCTCTGCATATCACCTGTGGCATGTGCTGGAGGTCCCAGGTGCCATGCTGTATGAACAGAAGCTTATTTTTTTCACAGCAGTTTTGAACCCTTCATCATTTTACTGGATCAGTAAACAAGTCCAGGAACAAATTGTGAAAATATTAAGATAAAGTTATTTATTCCCAGAAAGAGTCTAACCTTTCAAAAGTAAAGCAAATTTGGTAACAATGTTATCTTATAGAATGAAGATATCTACAATGATAGACTGTATTACCTATAAAATAGAAGCTGTGTTAATACTACACTGTGGTATACAAGTGCTTTTCAAGTAACATTGGTTTTTAGTAATTTCATAATACACAATATGTATGTACCTTGCAAGCCTCTGAAAAAGTTGGCCTGAGATATTTCTTGAGTCCAAATAGGGTTAGCTATGTTTATTTTAAAATGGTTTGGTTTGTAAACCTAATACAGGTCTGTCGCATCTTAGGCGCATTTACCATGTGCGATTTCAGCTTTATGCAGTCGGCAAAAACAAAACAAAAAAAGAGAAAAACAACAATTTAAATACTGTTTCTGTAGTGCGGGCAATTCCGCCCGCCATTACACTCAATGTAATTTTGACTATACGCGATGTTCGCTTTAGGCGCTGACTGCGGAACGTAACCCCAGCGTAAGATGAGACAGACCTGTATCTTACTAGAAGCTTTACAGTTCTGGTGGGGGGGGGACACACGACACCCTGAATTTTTAGATTTAAGTGTTTTTTTCCATACATCTTGCGGAATTCCCGCTTCCTTAAAAATGTTAAGCTCAGGGATGCACTAAAATAGTTTTATTTTCACTTCTAGAATGAGTCTTTTCAAGTTGTCACACTGCTACATTATGTGTACACTGGTAGAAATACTCTGTTTCACTCTACAGCTATAAAGCCAACCCCTTTAGGGAGATCTGGGAGGAGCCATAACAAAGGTAGTCTCTGGAAGCACAACTCTGGAGCCATTGGAAACTAGTGAGACTGAGTGACAGAGTAAACCAAGGGCAATCCAGGCAGGAGGCTCCTGCTTATCCCAGGGATCTACACAGGTCATGGAGGTTCCATTGGTTAATGGGAGTGGAGCCCCCAACTTCTTTTGCAGGCGAGAATCACCATCTGAGTTCCCTCAACTTGTAGAGTTTCCTCTCCCTGTGAAGGTTTTCCCTATAAGTAAGGACCCTAAGTAAGGATTTCAGGATCTTGCACAATATGCAGTAGTCATCTAACCACGTTGATTTTTATCTGTGGGGATAATATAAGCCATGAATTCTAGGATTGCAAGGGTGGTGATTAGCTCACAGCTAGCCATGTCATGATTTTTTATTTCTTTCCAATAATACATTCTCCCTCAGCCACAGAATAAAATTGCTTTCCATTGGGTGTGCCAAACTGATTACCCGCTCATCTGAGTGAAGAAGAATTCTTTAGAAGTTAATAACCAAGATTTAACTGTGTAATGAAAGGATACATTCAGAGATCATGCTTCTAATTCTCTTGTTACTGATTCCAGCAGATAAATATACAATATAATTGCAAATAAAACTACAGAGACATATGATATTAAAATGGATTAACATATGTTCTTGTTCAAAGAAAAGTGTTTACTATATCACCGTGGTTGATAATTTTACCTTGGAATTAAGTTTGTCCATATGTTTGGCAATTTCCTGTATTTAGCTACACGGCGGTACCAGTCGTGCTGGTTTCAGATTTGACTCAGATGCCAACCCTTACCTAAATTACAAAGGATGGAGTAAATTTTAAATTAGAGACATTTACAAGTGATAAAACACAGTCTAGCTTGAGTATCTTGAACATTCCACTCTGTCTGAATATTACTGACATCAAATATATATTTCTGATCCAAAAAACCTGGGTAAGTAAGAAAGCTGATGATACTTACAAATATTAAAAAATCCTCATACAATATTTGCTAAATAATTTAGTTAATCATGCTGAGCACACTTAGCACCCACAGTGAAGTGTGTGGTATAAATGTTGAGTGAGGGAGTATATAATATATACAATGGGTGATCTACAAAGGAAATATTTACTTAGCTAGATATTGCTTTCTAAGGAAGGGAAAATGCTCTAAGGAGCATCACCACCAAAACCCTATACTGGTCCAGCAGTCACAATAATAACTGCAATGTATACCCTCGCCTTCCCAATAAACACACCTTTTTGTCAGCACTGTCCATCCCCAGCTCCCCATGTCCTGAGGCCTGACAATAAACCAGTCTGGAAAAGGCTCCAAGGCATCTGGTCATTGCATCCACTTTTTTTTTTAAATGCTTCTCCCATCTTCTTAGAGCTCTGATTCTCATCTTCCATTGTGCACTGTGGAGTGAGGATAATTCATACCAACTTGAAGCTGGTTTAAGTTGTGCACCAGGTACACTGCTCCGCTGGGCTAATTTCTGCTGGGTTTGGTACCAAGCTGCCTCTTTTCCTATGGCTACACTCAAATGTACATTGACTTTGTTACCTGCACACATTAGGGCACCTCACCTTTTCCCAATTCATAGGGCTCCAGGTGAAAATAACCTACCCTTATCCAATTCGTAGGGCTCAGGGCCACCTGTACCCAATTCGTAGGGCTCCAGGTGAAAAGCACCTACCCTTAACCAATTCGTAGGGCTCAGGGCCTCCTGTACCCAATTCGTAGGGCTCAGGGTGTAACTAACCTGGTCAATTTAAGTACCCACATTCTTTCCCAATACATAGGGCTCTGGGTGTATACTACTTCTGCAGGTGTGCAGAACCTTTTACCAGTGAAAGAGCCTTACACAGTAATATACTACATTACCTCTATTTATTAACAATCACCAAAAACAGAATGCGCACGCTACACATACAATGCTCACCTCTCCCAATAAAACAAATTAACTTTTCTTGATAGCCAGTCAGGATCAGGTCCATCTGGGGGACTCCAGTTTCTGCACAGTGTTACTGGCAGAGTGTTGAGGTCTGGCAGCTCTGATCTTTGGGGCTGTGTCCTGGAGTTGGTTCCCAAAGAACTTTCTTTTGGACCTCAGTTTATATAGTGAAATTTTAGTCCTTTTTAGCTATACCTTAACCAATCGTTATACTAAAATTTTACTAACCAATCCTAACATAGTGTAACAAAATTCTCTAACCAATCCTACCCCACCACCTTAATTAATTTACACCTAGCAACATTAATTATGTAACAGACAAACAATTAAAGAACCAGACAGAGACCATACAGATAAACAATAGGGAAGTGGGGACCATAATGACAAAACAAAGAAATGAGGATTTCACAACCACAACTATTGATAAGTGATTTCTTGACCAACAGGATGCTATCAAACTAAGTTTTCTTTAGCCAACTTAAAATCTGTTTCTTTATCTGGTGATACTGGGTGCCATTAGGACGGGATCTCCTTCTTAACAATCTGATATTACATTGTTTTAATGTAATTTAGATGGAATGTGAGGATGTGACTTTCTGCTTCTCAGCTAATGGCTGCTGCTCGGCTGCTCTTTTAATCTGGATGCAGACGAAGGCCTGAGGCTTTAGGCCTTACAATATGGCTGCAGACAAAGGCCTTATCCTTACAACCTCACCACCTTTTCCTGCACAGAGTGGCAGGCATGTACCAGGGCTCAGATGGTATGCCATGTGATCTAATTTGCTGTGCACTTGTGCAGGATCATTCCATAGAGGATTTTGGGATGCCCTTCACCCTTATTTGGTAGCACATGGGGCAATTTGTCCCTTTCCTCACTGTTACACACTGCACACCAAAAAGAAAGAGAGTCCTTGCAATTTACCACAGTAAAGTCATGTTGAGATAAGTGAAATTATTCCTTTTTACAGACAACTAATGTATTTTATATCCAATTTCTAGACCTTTGTCTGATAGACCTGCAGTGCCCAGAGATATATCGTGTCATCCATATTTAAGCAAAATTTCCCACTGAAATCAATAGTGAGTTATGCTTAAACATGGATGGCAGGTATGGCCCCTAGAAATCAGTTTCTTTTCATGAGTACCCCAAAAGAAACTTTTAGTCTTGAGCTGCTCCTGGACAGATATTTCAAGCGACCCTAATGAATATCATGCTTTAGGGCAGGGGTGGGCAAACTTTTTGGCCTGAGGGCCAAATTGTATGGCGGGCCATGAATGCTCACAAAATAGGGGGTAAGGGCACAGGAGGGGGTGAGGGCTCCGGCTGGGGGTGGGGGTTCTGGGGTGGGGCCAGAAATGAGTTCAGAGTGTGGGAGGGGGCTCCAGGTTGGGGTGCAGGGGGGGTTAGGGCTCTGGGGTGGGGCTGGGGATGAGGGGTTTGAGGTGCAGGATAGGGCTCCAGGCTGGGACCGAGGGGGTTGGAGGGTGGGATCAGGAGTGGGGCAGGGGGTTGGGGTACAGGGGAGGGGTGTGGGGGTGTGGGCTCTGGGATGGGGCAGGGGATGAGGGGTTTGGGGTGCAGGACGATGCTCCAGGCGGGGACCAATGGGTTCGGAGGGCAGGAGGGGGATCAGGGATGGGGAAGGTGGCGGGTGAGGGCTCTGGCTGGGGATGAGGGGCTTGGGGTACACGAGGGGGCCCTGGGCTGGGATCAAGGGGTTTGGAGGACGGGAGGGGGATCAGGGGATTGGGATGTGGGGGGCGGTGGGCCTCAGGAATGCAGGCTCCGGATGCTTACAGCAAGCAGCTCCCAGAAGCATGTCCCACCTCCAGCTGCGAGGTGCAGCCAAGCGGCTCTGTGCGCTGCCCCATCCGCAAGCGCCACCCCTGCAGCTCCCATTGGCCGGGAACCGTTGCCAATGGGAGTTGCGGGGGCGGCGCCTGCAGATGGGGCAGCGGAGTAGGGAAAGCACCCAACCTTGCTCCCTGGCTGGAGGGTGGGAGCAGGGCAAGCCCCAGACCCCGCTCCCCAGCGGGAGCTGAGGGCCGGATTAAATGCTCTGACGGACCGGATGTGGCCCATGGGCCGTAATTTGCCCAACCCTGCTTTAGGGTGATGATTTGTAGCTCTTTGTTGACCCACATTTTTTATATTTACACCCTCCCACTTAAACTGGTATCACTCACTTAGAATCCACAAAGCATACAAGGCTGCATACAGTGCAGTTAGGTTTGATTGGGCTTCCTTATTCCACAGGTAGGTGAGAGAGGGTCTGTCTGTCTGTGGAATCAGTCCGCAGGTATTCATCATTTCTGCAGTTATGTTCTTTTCTTCTTCTGGCAGAGAAGAGGCCAGGCTGAAGATTCTTTCTTTGTCACTGGAAAGAATCCACTCCATGATGCCATCCATCTTTGCACACACACAAAAAAAGGAACCATGAAACAAAGGGTAAGGGAAGACAGTAAAAATGACTTGAAAAGGCAAATGAAATGTTTGTTCATAAGCTGGGACATCAGCTTACTGCCCTAAACCTTGCTGGTTTGGAGTCTGTAACTGTATCAAATATACAGGGAGAGGAGGAGAGCAGAAGCAGTTATATTGATCTTTGGAGAGCAATGGGCCACAGTTTTCAAAAGTGATTAAGGGATTTAAAACTGGGCAAACAAAATCACGAGAGCCTCTGATTTTCAGAGGGCGAGTGCTCAGCGCTTTCTGAAAATTGGGACCATTTACGGTGGTTCAGGCTGAGCAACCCAAATCACTAGTTGCTTTTGAAAATCTATCAGATCTGTAGGGCACCATTCGCTAGTATATTGGTTTTCATGACAAGTATGTGAGAATTCCTTTAGTTAACGCATGTGAGGTCAGGTGTCATTTCATGCATAACCTTATTAGATTGGAATCACTAGGAAAAAATATTTTTCCTTTTGTCAAACCTGGGGAAATGCTGCACTCCTTACATTCATTTCAGTAGGAGGTTTATCTGAGAAAAGACTGTAGGATTTACTTCTTTTAGGTATGATAAGCTTAAGGGAGTAAGGTGCCCAAATCCCATTCATTTCCAATGTGTTTTGGCATCTAATTCACTTAGGCTCCTTCAAAAATCCCACCCCGTACAATAGTGAGCTGGTGGAAATAGTCCAGTTCCTAATGAGCTCATAATCCACACCACAAATAGCACCATCACCTGGCACTGATTGGTCCCCCTTGTTGGCAGTGTCAGCAGAAAAGCCAAAGACGGAATGGGCTATTTTTCCTAAGGTGATACGTCCAAGTCAGGTTTAAAGCATGATTCATAGGTTCTAAGCCCAGAAGGGACCACTGTGATCATCTAGTTTGACCTCCTGTGTAACACAGGTCATAGAACTTCCCCCAAATAATTCCTAGAGCCGATCTTTTAGAAAAACATCCAATCTTGATTTTAAAATTGTGAGTGAGGGAGAATCCATCACGACCCTTGGTAAGTTGTTCCAATGGGTTATTATTCTAACTGTTAAAACTTTATGCCTTCATAGAATATCAGGGCTGGAAGGGGGTCATCTAGTCCAACCCCCTGCTCAAAGCAGGACCAATCCCCAAACAGATTTTTACCCCAGTGCCCTAAATGGCCCCCTCAAGGATTGAACTCACAACACTGGGTTTAGCAGGCCAATGCTCAAACTACTGAGCTATTCTTCTCTTTCCAGTCTGAATTTGTCTGGCTTCAACTTTCAGCCGCTGGATCATGTTATACCTTTCTCTGTTAGATTGAAAAGACCTTATTAAATATTTGTTCCCCATGTAGATACTTATAGATTATAATCAAGTCACCCTTTAACCTTTTCTTTATTATGTTAAATTGATGGAGCTCCTTGAGTCTATCACTATAAGGCATGTCTTCTCATCTTTTAATCATTCATAGATCATAGAATATCGAGGTTGGAAGGGACCTCAGGAGGTCATCTAGTCCAACCCCCTGCTCAAAGCAGGACCAATCCCCAGACAGATTTTTGCTCCAGATCCCTAAATGGACCCCTCAAGGATTGAGCTCACAACCCTAGGTTTAGCAGGCCAATGCTCAAACCACTGAGCTATCCCTCCCCCCCTTTCATGGGGCTTTTCTCTGAACTCTCTCCAATTTATCAACATCCTTGAATTGTAGCCACCGGAACTGGACATGGTATTCCAGCAGCTCACACCAGTGCCAAATACAGAGATAAAATAACCTCTCTGCTCCTACTCAAGATTCCACTGTTTATGCATCCCAGGATTGCTTTAGCCCTTTTGGCCATAGCATCGCACTGGGAGTTCATGTTCAGCTGATTATCCACCATGACCCCCAAATCTTTTTCAGAGTCACTGCTTCCCGAGATAGAGTCCCCCATCCTGTAAGTCTGGCCTATTTTCTTGGTTCCTAGATGCATACATTTACATTTAGCCATAAATGCATATAATTTGCTTGAGTCCAGCTTACCAAGCTCTGTATCAGTGACCAGAATAATGGTGAGACTGGAGCGTGTGGAAGGTTGTACTGCCACTGTACTATTTATCTGTCAGTGTATCTACCTGGATCTTTGATATTTCTAAGGTATTACCATTCACAGAACAGAATTAAAAGTTTCAGCCTCTAGGACTGCTTATCTGATGCCTTTCGCCAGCACTAAATTAATCCCAAAGAACAATAAATAAAAACTAGCTAGCAGCCCTAGTGTGAAAGATATTATCACAGACAGCATTGATAAACATTTTCTAACCAAGCAAGGGACAGCCAACACTTTTGTACTCTGCTGTGTGCTATTCTTGAGCAGACTAGGTATTTACTCTTGTTTCTTTAAGTAACAGGCTCACTACAGATGCAGAGAGGAGCATAAATCCAGAATGTTCTCAGTCCATCACTTTTTACTGCAGATATGTCGGCAATAGAGTAGTGACGGATGTAAGGAACCATCTCTAGCAGAAGATACATGGAGACAGATTCCAAAGTGGGTAGATTAAGTCTTTGCCTTATGCCTGAAATACTGTGGGAGAGGCTACAACTCGCAACAGTCTATAACCTGGACTGGGAATATTGAGGGAGGAGATCTTTGAGGAGATCTGTTATTGGAGACCTAATGCAGCCCTGAATTAGTCAGCCGGATACACAGATCATCACCGCCTTCTAGCCACCTGATACTGTTTTAAGATCTAGGGAACAGGAAATGCCTGAATTCATAGTGCGTCCCAAGCCACTTTGAGTCATCTCATGGTATACACCTAGAAAAAGAATGGGTGTGTGTTTGGAGGTGGGAAAATGGAAGTGACTGGGTGTCCTATAACTCTGGCTTGGCTAACATGCTTGGCAAACGCTGCTGGCTCTCATTGGGGGTGGGGGTAGGGAAGAAATCAACTGAAGTATTTTAGTGGAGGTGGAGGCAATGGTTTGGTGGATTCTGACCCATCACAGTCTCTGTCCACATCTTAGTCCATGGCTTCCTGCAAGGATAAACTGGAGATTAAGGGCCTGACTTTCTAGAGCTCAGTTCCCATTTTCGAAGGGGTCAGCACATTGAGGGCTGAGCTCATGGAAAAATCCGGCCACCAGTGTGACACATGGGATCTGCTGGGTGCCCAGCTTTTTTAAAATCTGGCCCCACAAAATGAACAATGGGGCCTTTTTCTCACTAAAACATTCACCTCCTACAGGTGTTCAACCTCCAGCTAAAAAATCCACTCCTACATATTGATCCACACAAGAGGCAGCTGTGAGGACATAGGTCAAAATGGCTCGGCATGGTTGCTCTGCAGTTTGTGTTGACTATAAAGGAAGCATCTTGAGCTCATATAGCACCTTGGTGAATCTCAGATGTACCATGCCTGCCAAACATGCTGCTGGATGCTGTCCTGGGCTGTATCAATCAGCTTTATTGCAGTGTTAACTAGTAAATATTCAAAGATACGAGTGTGGGAGGATCTTACCAGCTCAAGCTGCTTGGCCACCATGTTCTTCTCTATGCAGGTCACAAGCAGGGGCAGCACTCTAAAGTCCAGATCTGTGAAAATTAAATCAGAACCTCAGGGAGAGTCAGAAAAAGAAAAATGCTCGGTGTGGTGTGCTTTAGAGTGGAGCTGTTGAAAGTTCTGGGTGCATTGTAATAATTCGTTAATGTGATTCATGCTTTTAAAAATGCAAAATACCTTCTTTTTTCAATTGTTCAGTGCAGGTGAAAAATGCCAGATTATCAGCCCTTGAGGCTGAGAGTCCTACCTGCATTCCTGTGGGAGTGACAGGCAGCCCATCCCGCGCCCACCCGCTCAGCCCGGGGGGCTTCTCGGCAGGGAGAACATGAGCCGGCGAGGCGGGTCACTGCACGCTGCGGAGCGAGCGGCACTCTCTGCCTGGAGTCCGGGGACTTTCCCCTAGGTGGGCTCGGGAGCCCTGGAGGAACCAGCGTCCTCAGCATGTGGCCTAGAGAGCAGGTCTTCAGAACGCCCTTTGTTTCTCGAACAGGTAGAGTGCAAATGGCAGCAATGTGCAAGCTTCTGTGCACATCTCCCCAGTCCCTACTGATGCGCCTCAGCCCTACACACTACAAGAAGGATATGGAAAAATTGGAAAGAGTCCAGCGGAGGACAACAAAAATTATTAGGGGGCTGGAGCACATGATTTACGAGGAGAGCCTGGGGGAACTGGGATTATTTAGTCTGCAGAAGAGAAGAATGAGGGGGGATTTGATAGCTGCTTCCACCTACCTGAAAGGGGGTTCCAAAGAGGATGGATCTAGACTGTTCTCAGTGGTGGCAGATGACAGAACAAAGAGTCTCAAGTTGCAGTGGGGGAGTGTTAGGTTGGATATTAGGAAAAAGTTTTTCACTAGGCGGGTGGTGAAGCACTGGAATGGGTTACCTAGGGAGGTGGTGGAATCTCCTTCCTTAGAGGTTTTTAAGGTCAGGCTTGACAAAGCCCTGGCTGGGATGATTTAGTTGGGGATTGGTCCTGCTTTGAGCAGGGGGTTGGACTAGATGACCTCCTGAGGTCCCTTCCAACGCTGATATTCTATGATTCTATGAGCCCTGATCTGAAGGGACCACTACTTGATACGAGAGAGGAATTCAATCTCCAATGTCCATTCAGGTCTGGTTATAATTAAATGGTGGTGTTAGTGATGTGTATTCCTGTCCACTAGGAACTGGACTGAGACCCACCAAACACATTTTACATAGGCCACTAGCCATCGGCAGGGGTAATAACTCCAGGGGTATGAAGCAGAAAACATCAAATAGGGCCTGGCATTTTAAGTTAAGCACTGGAAGAGGTTACCCAGGGAGGTTGTGGAATCCCTGTCACTGGAGGTTTTTAAGAACTGGTTAGATGAACATCTGTCATGCATAGTCTAGGTATACTTAATCCTGCCTCAGCGCAATGAGGTGGGCTAGATTACCCTTTGAGGTCCTTTTCTGCCCAACATTTCTCTGATTCTACAATTTTGCTCTGATGTTCAATATCCTGCTGACCCTTCCACTCCCTCATTATGCTGGGTTTGTACTTTCCTGACATGATGTAACAGTAGTGCAAAGTCAGCTGCTTCCAGCCTGTGAAAGCCTAGTTTCCTGGGATAAGGTGAACACTGCTCACTATAGAACTTGATACTTCTAGTGAGATTCCATGATAGCATATAGGCTGGACTTCTTGCAAGATGGATTGGAATATCTTGCGTGTGCTTCTGTGCATATCCCAGAAACTCAGCCAGATTTGTGTACTACTTGAATATAGACAGTGCTGGCTGAACAGCAATATCAGTTGCTGAAAGAATCAGTAGAAGAGACATCTCAGGTTGGGTTTTCTCAAGTTCTCAATACAAGATAGTCCTGATTTTGAGAAAACACAAGACCAATAGAAATTCTACATCCCACTGAAAAAAATCAACCCAGGAAGCTCAGATGAGCAGATGGGTATATGCTTATTTAGATCCAACACATAAAACTACAGAACTCTATGTGGAAAACCTAATTCTTCATGCTTTCCCCAAGCCATAAGTTTTTCAAGCAACTTTGGAACTGTCTCTGCATTGATTGACATCTCCGTACCTTCTAAAGAAGAACACAGGAAGTGTACCGGTTGCAATAATGAAGGGGCTTCTTTTCTCTGATCCTCACAGAAAACTCCTAAATCATGAAGCAAATTTTCCACCTGAGGCCGGAGAATTTCATCCAACAAGTCCAGCATTGAGTGCTTAGGTTGACCCCCCGCCAAGAAAAGCTCCAGCTGGTGGTAAAATGAATAAAAGAAGGGGGGGGGAAGGGACAGCTGTCAGTCAAAGTTTAGTTCCTTCCCCTAGAAGATTGGCATTTTGTGTGTGTGTGCGCACGTGTGTGCAAACATGTATGACATAGATACCTGTCCCCTTAGCAGTGTACTGGGACCACTAGACAAATGGGAACAACTCTCAGCTGTTAGCCATCAGGCAGGATGCAAAACTGTGACTCTAAATCCCATTACTAATTTCCTGAACCATCCAGTCCCACAGTCAGTGCAATGGTTAAAGTATTTTTGACCCGGATTCTCATTGACATTAAGGCCCCTTTACGTTCCTTTCATTTACATCAACTTTAAGGCATATTTACACTGCCAACATGGTGTAAAAGGAGTCTTAGCGCAAATGCAAATCAGGATCTATATTTTAAACCCTTCCTTTTGGTAGCTCACAACTGTCTAACAGCCTGGTCTACACTTCAAAATTAGATCAACTTAGCTATGTTGCTCAGGGCTGTGAAAAATTTTGCTCCCTGAGCACGGTGGTTAAATTGACTTAACCCCCAGTGTAGGTGCAGCTAAGAATTTTTCCATTGACCTAGTCACCACCTCTCAGATAGGTGTATTAACTAACGACATTACCAGAAAACCCCCTTTCATCAATATAGGACATGTCTGTACTATGACACTACAGCAGCTGTAGTGTAGACACACCCATCAGCTTAGATATTTTCCTCCCAGCCTCCTAACCTCTGTGTGGGATTTTCCATGTCGCACCATGATCTAGCCCAGAGGTCCTCAAAGTGTGGGGAGCGCCCCCTTACGGGGGTATGGAGAATCGTCCAGGAGGGTGCAGTGGGGCCCAGGCCAGCCTCCACAGAGGTGGGGAGGGAGCACCACCCAGCCCCTCCCCACCCCCAGGTCTGCTCCAGTCCCGCCCCCAGACGTGTCCCCAGCTCCCGACCCCATCCCTGCTCCCATCCCCAGCCTCAGCGTGGCTCTGCTCCCAGCCCTGCGCCAGCCCCCAGCCTCAGCCACTGACCGCAGCTCCGTTCCTAGCCCGGGGCCGAGGCTGGGGGCAAGGCCGGGAGTGGCTCAGCTGCTGGTCCCCACCACAGCCTGGCTGTGGGTCTGCTCCCGCCCCCAGCCTTGGTCCTGCTCCTGGCCCGAGACACACCACAATTGTAGCCCCAGCCTCAGCCCCCTTACCCCTGTCCATGTTCCCCCCCAAGCCATGGCCCTGCTCCCAGCCTAGGCTCCGGGGGGCATGGACAGGGTTGAGGGGGGTGTGACCCTCAAAAGTTGGGGACCGCTGATCTAGCCCATAGCTCTGTTATATCTGTGGTGGGTTACAGAGTACTGTAGTGGCCAAGCAGTTGGAGTGACGAATGTGTCTCTAATCTCTATTTAAGTGACACTTGGCATGCATTCATTTCACAAATGCACAATCAATGTGTTTCTTGGCTTAATGTGAACTTGTCAAATGAAATTTAAACAGCACATACCACAGTTTTAACATCTGATATAACATCACCATCCTGCAGAAAGCTCTTAAAGGTTCCCAGCAATTTGATCCTGAAATCCTGACTCAGAGACATCAGCGGCTCACATTCTCCTTTGATGGTGTCCTTCGCTTCCTGAAATGCTGGTGGTGGGTAAAAAGCAACATGCATCAGCACTCAGCCAACCTACTCACCTAATGTGTCAATAAGCTACTCTACCAAGTCTGGCAATGGTGTGATGCATACATCAATGTGGTCTAGTGCTAAAGCAAGAGAGTGGAGTCAAGCAATTATATTTTCATTGCAATGATGCTGACCTATTTGGAAAAAAAATGTGAACTAAAATCAAAACAGTAAAATAAAAATAACAGAGCTAATACTAGACAGCCAAATACTGAGCAGTGCTGAGCACCTGTGACTTTGGAGACAGGACTCCTGGGTTCCATTCCCAGCTCTGTTATGGGTTCATTTTGGGGAACTTGGGCTAGTCATTTCAGTTCCTCCATCTGTAAAACGGGGAGGCTGATATCCTCCTCATAACGGTGTTGTGTTGACTAATTGGTCTATGTTAATCACTTTGTGCGGTGCTAGATATATTAAAAGTATTATGACTTCTGCAGAGCCCCTTTTCAAGCCCTCTGAGATCAGAAAATCAGAAGCAAAATATGGAGAAAGGAATTAACAGCATGCTGCTTGCCTGTTAGTGAAGGCTTTAACAAATCCTTGAAGCCTGAAATGAGAAAAACACCAGTTTTATCATTGTACTACAATTAAATTGAAACAGAAGCTTAACAATAATATGTCCTTCTCTGTGGCCCTTTCTCAAGACTGTCAGAGAACTTTACAAGCAACCATTAACTGAGCTTCACAACCCCCTAGGAGCTAGCAATAGTCATGGGGGACTGTGGTTATACCCATTTTACGCCGGAGTTTACCAAAATCCAGAGAAGTTAAGTGGCTCAAGGCCACCCACCCAACTCAATGGCAGAGCCAGGAACAGCCCAGAAGTTTGACTCCCCTTCCTTTTCACTAACCGCTAGACCCGCCCTCTAATGACAGTCCAGATATGTTCCAGGTAGCTTTATCCTACAGCTGTATTTTATGGGGTCTTCACTCATAGTAAATCTACTAACTGATCATTTACCTCCATCCATTGGTACTGTCATATGAGAGTCCCTCTTAAGAACCCATGTCCAGATGTCATTCTTTCAACCACAGTGATTGATTTGAGAGTGTCTTTCTATTATCCCTCTAGGTCTCCACTCCAAATTTCCCTTTCTTCCTGTCCCAGAAACATTTTCTGGAATGTCTCATGGCTGGTAAATTAATTTTTGGCTCAACAAAATACCCATGCTGACTCATTTTGACTTCAGCCATTATGAGACATGCCTGAGATGCGCTGCAGAGAACCACTAGTTGAGAGATGCTGAGGAGAGGAGGGGAATATAAATGATATGAAAAAAGAGAGCTAAGAAAGCTAGAAGTTACATGTAGCTAGAGTAGGACAATAAAATAAATTGCTTACCATCAAAACCAAATGAAGGCGCACTGGCATCTGGAGAAGAAAATAGAAGTTGTTATTATTAATGATATTTTGACCTTCTCATGCTAGGATCTCAAAGTGCTTTCCAATCACTCACTAATTAGGACCTCAGCATACGTGGAATCCTTGTAAATTTTATTATCCTCATGTCAACAGATCCGGAAACTGAGGAACAGAGAGGGTAAGTGACTCGCCCAAGGTCACAGTAACTCAGTGGCATACAGGCCAGGAGTCCTTGTAATGGTAGCATCTGAAGTCAGAGGACATTCGACCCCTACCAAATGAAAGTGGTATAGACTTGTGCAACCCTGACCCATGTTATGTAATCGGGGCCAGGAAACAGAGACCAATCCCTTTCCAGCGCTTCTGAGAATCATACTTTTAGTCCAGGTGGGACATTCAGCCCCCAACTCTAGCCACAAGATACAACTGCCATGTTTCATCTAATATTGTTGTGAGGAAAGAGAAAATGCGCGGTGGTTTGGGCTGCAGAAAGCAAGATAAATATAACTGCATTAAAGTTGGACCCATTACCCCACACCACATGTGACTTAATGGTTTCAATGCTTAGCTTAGATCACTTACAGACAAATATTTTCTTCTGGATTTTCAGGGGCTGTACGACATATGCCAGCACTGTGCCCTGAGGAATCAGCATCATCTTCTTTTTAATGCTCTTGCCCTGCCCCTATGGAGTCAAACACAGACGCAGGACTCCGGTAAGATTCCTAAGGCAGGTCAATAAATCCTCAAGTGGGTACTTGACAAGTACTGATTTTTGGCAGAGTCTATGGGGGGAAGGGGGCAATTCTCCAGCTCCTTCATCCGAAACAGGCTTTTGCTTATTTATGGCTTTTAGACAAGGTTGCTTTGGAGCAAGTTTGTCAGGAGGAAGGAACAAGCTGCAGGAAATAGCCTCCTGTTACGTGCCTGATTTCAGCAGAGCAAAATGCCCTGTAAACCTAGTCTCTTCTCTTCCCACCCCACCTCGAAATCTTTGTGTGACTTTAAGTGTTGGCGAAAGTATGGCCAGTGGATAGCTCAAGAGCCTTGGACATGATGGGCACCAGCAGCATCCCGGGCTGCGCTTCCACACTGCCCCCTGCTGGTGTGCCTCAAACCTCACCTATTGAGACAGTCCCTTGGAATGAGAGGAGTTCTCATTCAAGCCATGGACTTATCTTTGGAGTCTGCCTGTAAGTGGGCCAGTTAGAACCAATCGTGTTGTTGGTTTTCACAATACCTGTCCATTGAGAACTGGAGTGAGAAGCCTGCCTTCCTTTCCCCCACAATCATGTCTTTTCCCACTCCATGAGGCCTGGTGTGGCTGTTGCTGCATTCATATCTACTCCACAGCCCTGGTTCTGTGACCGTCAGAGACCTTTAATTGGCCAGAGGAGACATGAGGTGCCAGGCAGCAGTCCCAGACTGGGCAGCAAGATACCACGATGGGAAATTAAACCAGAATCTCATGCATGATGGCCATACAGAACACTGCCACCAATGGCAGTGAGTGCCAATGTTGTACTGACACCCGCTCATGAACTTTTTCTACGGTTGTGTCACTTCTGTGCAATATGTGCTTCAGTGTGTGGGGTGCGGATGACACCAGCCGCCACTTCCTCCACGCTGCTAGTGAGTGACTAACGGAAGAGGCTGTTCCTGGAAATGAACACCTCTGGCGGGCACATAGAATTAGAAGGAAGATACATTTATTTTTACTGTTGATTTCATTTGTATATTTCACTAATTCAGTGCTCCAGGTGCCTTCCTAGGTGATCCCAGTATCATGCTCTTTGCAAGCGGGTAGGAACACAGATGTTAATACAATGGCTCCAACCACAGCTGAGTCGGAGATCCGACTGAAATGACACAGTACAAATGCACAAACCTGTATTCTACCTATTTCCCCTGCTGTGATCATGACTTTGCCTCCTCCCTGGCTCATCTTCTCAATGAGCAATGGTTCCTTTATCTCAAAAGCCTCAGTCACGACATACAGCTTCATCCTACGGGAGCCTGAAAATTCTTCTATGAACTTGTGCGACGTGTCAATTTTCCTGCAGAGGACACAGGGTAACAATGAGAACATCATCTGCTCTTACTACAAAGGGTCTCAGCCCTTGTGCTTCAGGGCATCTGCCAAATACTAACTGCATCTGGTTAGGAAAAAAACATTTATGAGTTGTTCCTAGTGTAGCAGGAGGAAATCTTTACACCTTAATGCTCTATTTTAGAAACATACATGGGCCTAGGCACTCAGACACTATGTTGACGAACAATAATGAATGTATTTACCCTGATGAAATCCCTGTGAGGCAGGGAAGTGCTATTATCCCCATTTTACAGATGGGGAACTGAAGCACAGGGAGGCTAAATGAGTTGACCAAGGTCACATAGGATGCCTTTGGTAAAGTAGTAAATTGAGCCCAGGCCTCTGCAGTTCTAGTGCACAGTTTAACCACAAGGCCTTCCTTCCTACCTGCACAGCCCTGCAGGATTCCCAGGGCCACAGGGACTGGGAGTGCTGTCCTCAGTCCTTGTTGGAGAGGAAATGTCATAAGTCACTCCACAGAGAACACTCTGGCCAGCGAGGAATTTGTTTCACCTGCCAGAGGGTTGCTGAGCTCCAGCCAGAGGTTTACCTTCCTCAGCTAGCAGGATGGTTTCTGTGATGCAGGGTATCCAGGGGCTAGGAATGGGATTAAATGCTGTGCACTGTTGTATTCATGTTGGGATATATGGGCCCAGAAGGTTTAAGGTGTTAACATGACCTAGTCACTGTCCAACATTAAACAGTTTTAAACCAGGTTTGGGGTTTGGTAATATAGAAACTTCCGCATGCTTATTACCATGGCAAAAGCAATATTAACGTTTTAGAAACTTTTATTAAAGACACAGAAAAAAGGAAAAATAGGTAAAGCATTTGAAATTTAAAGTATTAAGGAAGGCTTTCATTTCAATAGTTTCCCTTATTCCCTTTCCCTTTGTCTGGAGAGAATTTTTAGAAGGAAATCCCTCCTACTTTCAGTCTTTTAGATGGTATTCAATAGCCTAATAATGGTCTTGTTTGGGTGGAAAAGAGAAGAAGAGTTTAAATGGGCTGGTGTTGTTGTTGGTGCTGTTGTCAAAGTCCGGTCATGCTTCCTAAAAGAAAGACAAAACACTCACAAGACGGGAGAGAAAACAACGGCAAAGATAGAAAATGCCACTTCTGCCTCTGGTGTTGACTTTTATTTGCACTCTTCCTGCTGAAGAAACACAGGTGTGGAACATGATTTTATTAGCCACTCCGAGACCTGGCAAACGTATACCAACCTCGGCCTGTTTGGGGCATTGCTTTTAACTACCTCTTTGATCGCAGGTTTACAGCAGCGTTGCAGAATATGCAGTCTAGGCTGGCTAAGCCAGGCTCTTAATAGACAGAAGGAAAAAGGAGAGAGAGAGAGAGAGAGAGAGAGAGAGAAGAAAAGAAATAAGATGGGGAAAGAAAAGAACACCAGGGTCCGGGGAGGGAGGATAACCAAGTCTCACATCCCAGGTGGCATTGGGATTTATCATCTGGGTCCCTCTCTCTGGCCCAGTCTGGTTGGGACATCTCTTGAGATTAGGACAATAAAGTCCCAAAGATGTCACAGTGGATCCTGGGTTCCCAGGAGATGGTGGAGGTGACAACCATGATGGTAAAGCTCACTTCTTCTGTACACCCGTCTCCCAGACAGCAGTTGTGAAACATCTTTAGATTTTCCCCCAAAGTCTTTTAAGGACCCCAAAATGGGAGTGGTGGGTGGAATAGCCCCGCACCCTCATTATTTCATTCATAATTAGGCCTAATTTTTTACACACCCATTTTGGTTTATTGATTTCTGGTCTCACACTTCCCTTGTTTATCAGGTTTAATATTTGCATACTCCTTGAATTATATTAGTAGGCCATTTTGTTTGTAATAATTCAGTCTGTCTGTCTCCCTTTTGTATCTTTCCCATCAACATTTGTTGCAACAGGTCATTGTGACATTTTATAAACTTTCACTCACTTTTAACCGTTGAGCTCACAATTACTCAGTTTGCAAGTCCATTATTGCAAAAGTGCCTGGCTGTGGGAAGTAGATCTCAAGGAATGCAAAGGCAAGTCACTCCCAGAAGAGGTAAAATAAAAATCCATACTCACCACTGCCCTTTTTCAACCACATAGGCTTTTCTCACGGATATCTGAGACACAGAGAATGAACTCTTCCCTGAGCCACCAACGTCCACCTCAGTGATCTGAAAGGGAAAGCTGACCTCTCCTCCTACTTTCCAGTCTGTGGTCTCGGAGTATTGTAACACATCATCATATTGCACCTCTTGGGAAACAAACTTAATCAGGTTTCGTTTATTGCAGAAACTCTTATTTGTACTTGTTTCTTTAAGCTTTACCTCATGCTCTCACCGGTGGCTTTCCACGAACCCTCAATATACCCAACAAAACCACTGCTTTCTTAGATGGCTGGAAACTAGTCTCTCCCAGGGAAGTTGGAGTCGACCCAGTGTACACCAAAATCCAGGCAGGGATTTGTGAGTGACCTGTGAGGTCTAGTGGTCAGTCAGAACATAAGACTGAAGAGCTTGGATCTCCTGAGTTCTAATCCAGGCTCTGAGATTAACCCACCGTGTGATCTTGTGCTTGTTTCCTTGTGGCTTAGTTTACCCATCAGAGGAAACAATATAAAAAATACTTACCTAGTGTACCTCCCAGGAGGGTTGCGAGGGCTTAATGAACTACTGTTTGTAAAGCACTTGGGATCCTTGAATGGAAGATGCTATAGAGGGGCACAGTTATTAGTCGCAGGGCCGCCGGGGGGGGGAGCAAGTGGGGCAATTTGCCCGGGGCCCCACAGTGGCCCCCACGCGAATATAGTATTGCAACTTTTTTTTATGGAAGGGCCCCTGAAATTGCTTTGCCCCAGGCCCCCTGAATCCTCTGGGCAGCCCTGATTAGTTGACCCTTTCCCAAAATAACTGGTGATCACTTGGCAGCCCTTTACGTCTGAATTCAAGTCATACCTGCATCCATAGTTGTTCCTTCTTTGAATACGTCTGTAAGTTTGTAGGAGGTGGCGAGATATTTTCTGGGTTGCCAAGGCAGCCTGGACTGTTCCTTCATGACCAAAGCGAAGGGTCTGTAACTATCGGCACTAGCCAAGCTGGATATAGGAATGAGCCTCCCGTCAGAGTCCAGCTCTTTTGTGAGCTGCTTGGCCACTCTAGCAAACATTTCCAGCCACTTGTAGCCAAATCTGGTTAAAGATGGGACAGAAGGAGGAAGCTGATGGGTTAACAATGTGTTGAAGGTAAATGATTGGAATACATGAAGTTAACATAATAATCCTGCTCATCTCTTATGATCTGTAGATTGCAAAGCACTTTACAAAGGAGGCTACTATTAGTTATTGTCTGTATTATGGCAGGACCTAAAGGCATCAGCTGTGATCAAGACTCCATTGTGCTAGGCATTGTACATACATATAGTAAGAAACAGTCCCTGCCCAAGGAGTTTACATTCTAAATAGATAATATAATCAATACATTACCTCGCTCACAGGAGTGTTCTGAAGGTTATTTAATGTCTACATAGTGGTTTGTAATCTTTGTCTGACAGGCTCAATATAAATGTGATCTATTATTATTATCATTGTTATTACTTACATTCCATAGTAAGAGCTTCTGAAATCATAGAATCATAAAAGATTAGGGTTGGAAGAGACCTCAGGAGGTCATCTAGTCCAACCCCTACTCAAAGCAGGACCAACCCCAACTAAATCATCCCAGCCAAGGCTTTGTCAAGCCGGGCCTTAAAAACCTCTAAGGAAGGAGATTCCACCACCTCCCTAGGTAACCCATTCCAGTGCTTCACCACCCTCAGAGTGAAATACTGTTTCCTAATAGCCAACCTAAACCTCCCCCACTGCAACTTGAGACCATAGCTCCTTGTTCTGTCATGTGGTACCACTGAGAACAGCCGAGCTCCATCCTCTTTGGAAACCCTTTTCAGGTAGTTGCTTAACTGCAGCCTTAAAGAAAACCCACCAAATATAATGAGAGTTGTTAACACTGCTGTTTGAAGAGCGATACGTGACACATGATTTCCTATGGAAATTTGGGTTCAGGCTGGACTAGCTATACAAGCAATGTATATCGTGGTCTCGTCGGAGTCCATAGTTGATTTTCTTTTTTGTCCACCTCCTGCAAATTAACTATTTCCTGCAAAATGTGGCATGTCTGGCAGTGCCTGCTCAGGAGAAGCCCGGGACTGGAATAGGTTGGAATAAGCAGGTGGTGCTGCAGATCGGGACCAAGGCACACTGATACAGGAGCAGGGCCCAGAGCTGGAATAGCAAGGGGCTGCAGGTCGGGATTGAGATGCATTGATAGGGCTGTATGTAGGGGGCCCAGGACTGGAATAGCAGGGTGGAGTGTGGGAAGGAATCAGGACTGAGATGCATTGGCAGAGGTGGATGAGAGTCCCAGGACTGAAAACACAGATATTGAAAATGGGAATGAAAAAGAGATTTCTGTCAGCATGTTTTAAAAAACTGACGTACCTGGACTCTCACGCCTCACTTGTCCTGTATGTGGAGATAGTTCCCAACGGTCTTAACTGTGAGGAAAGGAGACGTGTGATGGCACCAGACTGTACAATACGTTCCCACCAGCGAACTTCTGCCACTGAAATTGAAATCACCAAGCAGTGACTTGCTTTACGTTCTAGGCTGTGCTTACTCACAAAGGGAAGTAGTTTACTGGCACTGGATTGCTTCACTTGGTATTTTCTCCACATGACTGTAGCCTTTTATTTTATTTAAAGTGAATTTTGTAATATGGTATTGCACCACTGTGGGGTCAGCTCTGGTCACTATAGTTTCAAGCTTAACAGAGTGAAAAAGTCACCTCTGCTGCTTGCTTTAGATTTAGAGTCTGTAAGAACACATAAAGAGCAAGGGTAGTGACCACACATATATTCACAAGTACAAGGTATCTGTTTTACAAGTTTTATTGAGTTACGGAAGGGCCCCTGAAATTAAAGTTATGATTACCCAATGTCGTGGAAAAAGACACCCACGCATTGATTTTAGTTCACAGACTCAAGCCTGAGGCCAGTTTATTGCAATACATACCAACGCGTTGGGGTAGCAATCCGAAAACTACCACACCTAGCACAGCACGCAGGCTGCCTTTATTCCGTCAAACCGCAAGCATAGTACAAAGAATACTTCATTTATGCGAAAATAAGAGTAGGGGTCTGTCCTTCTTTCCCAGTAGCTTCCTCATTATTTACGAGAATTGGGTGCCTATTGGGTGGGGGGTTTTCTTGGTGGTTTTCTGAAATGGGTGGTACTTGGCACCAGTTAGAGTGTTGTTCTTGTCAAGGTACATATTGTTTTTTGCGGGGTTTTACGGTTAAGGGCATAGGGGTTTATTACAGGAGGCCCAAAGATGATATATGATTGGCTGGTTGGCAGATAGCTGGAACTATAGGAGAAGTTGGCCTTTACTAGAAGGAATTTCTTCATATAAGCTGTTATTATGTTTCTTCAACAAGCGGTTATCATGTTTTTCATCAACAAGCAGTTATCATGTTTTTCATCAACAAGCGGTTATCATGTTGCTAAGGCCTTTCGCATTGCTTCCTTCCCCTCCCTCTTCTGGTCATAGCCCATGACTGTATTTGGCAGGGAATTGTACATCTTAGTTTTGTTCAGGTTCTGGCCTGTACTGTTCTATGAAAAGGCCGTCTGTATAGTCAGCTTCTGTCAGAGGGCCTGAATTTGGGCCTTCGGTGTTACTTTGGCTGTCATAAAGAAGACCACCTAGTTCTTTTTCCCCACACCAAGCATATCGAAAGTCTATACAAACCTATGCACAAGTTGCAAATATAGTTATACTCACATCCTTAACAACAGTGTTAGGGTCTGATGGGTCTCTGATGGATTGATCATCAGTAGAGGGATGGTTCTTGCTGGAGTCTCCCATAGGGAGCTCAGATTTCCTGCTCTGGGCATCCCCTTTTATAATGTAATTCTGACTATACCTCATTAACATTTATGCACAATGTACACCCTGCATGGGCATGTGTTAGAAAAATGTGATTACAGGGTATCTTACTCTGTTAATTTTTCGCAATATCACACATTGGTACATCATCTTTTCATGTAATCTTAGGGCATTGGGTTATTCTTTGGTCACTTACTTATGTCAGCATTTCTTAGCTCTAAGGCCTAAAATAGCTAAGCTAAAATCTTGCAGGCCTCAGCCTACAGGCCTTGCGTGTCAACCCTACTCACTTTCACTTAGATACCTAATACATGATTATCCTTCTAACTACTGATCAGTTTTATACTTCTATAATCCTACAACTTAACTCTATTTAGCATACAATGATTATATATAACATAACATGTTAGTTAATTATAACATCACACAATAAATGAACAATAAACTAAAAGAATTGGCTACAACTCAGAAACTTAGCAAATTTCCGTTGGAACTCCACAATTGGGTTAAGGGTTTGGGGGGGGAGTTTTGGTGATTGTCTGCAAAGATGAGGAGAGGACAGAGTAGTTAAATAGACATGGGGAGTAATGGACAGGAGACTGGGTAGGAGAAATGGATGAGACTGTTCTTAAGTCAAATATCTTTTTAGTAACACCACTATCCTAGGTAATAAATCCCATTTATAGGATCTGGATTATTTTATTTTTCCATGAATGAGCTAGTACGGTTGTTCTTTTATATAGACAACCAATGGCACTGTGAATAAAACAGGGTCCCTTTAATTGAAGACAGTGTAAAATCAAACAAGTCTATTTGCTTTCCAACAGGAGACAATGACCTAAGGTTCTAAGCACTGGAACAATAGATTAGGTGCAGATCACAGGATTTCCTATGGGTTGGCAGTGTTACCTTCAGTAGGGGAAAGTTACAGCACCCCCTGCACTAAGTGAAAGAGACCAGGGTATGTCAAAAAGGTTCCACTCCTTCCCCGCTTGAGACTGAATTAAACTGGTTGTTAGCTAACAAATTCCAACAGGGAATTCACCTGTGCAGAGTCCACGGTGTCTGACCATGAGCCTGTTGTTTCAAAGCTAATTACCCAACAAATAGCTTGTTGGTCTGAGATTCTGTGCCATCCATTGCTATGGGTGCCAGAAGACCCAGAGAGGGAGAAGGGGGGCTCATAGACCTTTCCTCTCTAAGGCTCCATCTCCATAAGCACCAAGTGGGGCAGGCCAGTGATGGCAGATGGGTGCCTTCACATACACACATCCCCCTCCTTCCACAGCTGATCCCTAAAAGGGCAGAGGAAAGTGCCTGAGAGGCTAACTTGTGTAGACAAGAAGGGAAACCACCACCATCTGTCTGGGAGTGTACCATCTGCAGGAGTGCAGCCGTCAAAGCAAGTCACGTCATGGTCTGGAGCAAGCCATGTGATAAAGGAGGCTAATTTCCCATGAATGGGAGCTGTTGTTCCACATAAAGTCATGAGTTTTACCCTTTGTGGGACCAGGAAAGGTCACCTGCAAACTGCAGTAGAGATGACAATGGATCTGCCACCAGCAACAATACCTTCTTCTACTGTAAGCTCTAGTATAATGCCCTATGTTCGCTTAAGATGCTTGCCCATTACTGGCAGCCAAAGGTCTTTCCAGCCCTACACTGGGTCACTGCAGGGGTCAGGAAAGAATTTTTCCTCCCATGTGTAGACACCTCCAAATTATGAAATCCCAGGGAGGGAGGAAGCACAGTGGTACGATGTCTGTTCTTTAGCCTGGCTGCTGGCCTCGTGCATCCTTCGGTACTAAATCTGACAAATTGGTTATGCTTTGGTGCACAGAACAATAGGATCTAGTGGGTAGAGCATGGAACTGTGCACCAGGACTCCTGTGTTCTTTTACTCTTTGTGCAATTGATGGGTCTCTTGGATAAGTCTCAGCTTTAGTTTACGAGTGTTATAAAGCACATCTCATGAGAATTAATGTTTGCAAAATAGGCCTGGAGATGAAAGTTTCCCTGTAATGTAAAGACAACAGTTTATTAGCTACTTATCTGTTCCTCCAAGGGGCCTCTGAACTATGCCCCTGCTTTGTTTTACTGCTGCTCTGTAGCAAAAAAAAAAAATCAATGCTTATCAAACAGAAACAAGATAAAATATGGATTGCTCAGCCAAAGAGCTACCAAAGGGGCATGTTATAACTATGTGTGGGTATATGAAAGGTGTAGGCAATAAGGAGAAAGGGGAATTGTTTAGAGTGCTATGAGGGGGATGTCGGAGAATAACATAGTTCTCACTCTTTTAGTTGGGTACAGCAAAGTCAGATACTTTATTCTCTCTCTATCAATTGCATAGAGGGAGAGAGTGCACTAGGACACAGGGTCTCCCCCTCCTAGGCAGGTCTATCAACAGGTAAACAATTACAGCAAGCATTTATACCTTTTGTTACAGACAATGAAAAGCAACAGCTGCATTTTGTTTATACATAGGTCATTCTGATATCTTGTTTTTCTCACTTATGTAGACTCTTAGTCTACATTCCATATTATCTACACAAGTTCGCAACAACTTCTCACACAGTTCTTTCCCACTCGCTTCACACAATTCTCGCTTCTACAAATCTCGCGTTATTAGGGTTACAGTTAGCCTGACTCTTGCTAACAAACTGTCATGCATTGCAATCCCCTTCCTGTCAGTTCTTTCTCTGCTTCCACAGGGAGAAGGGGTTGCAACCAAGAACAATTAATTGAAACTGGGGCGGGGGGGGAGAACCCAACAAAACTATTGATGGAAATTTAAAGGAAAATTAACTTATTAACAAATGGACAAGTGAGTGTCTTTGGTTATGGTGCAGTTCTGCAGATTCTTCTGCAAAATTCCCTCTCCAGAGCTCTGACAGAGCGGGGAGGGTTCTCAGATGACGAGTGTCCAAATAAAGGAAACAGTCACGCAACTGAGCCTGGAAGAACAGTTCTTTTGCGTGGCGCAATTTCTCCCGCCACCTGCTGACTTCTCTGCAGCCCTTGATGGGGGTAGCAAAGTTGCAGCCCAATATGGTTCAATTAGGTCCATTGAGTGAGATTTTTAAGGATATTTAAGCACCTAACATTTGGTGCCTACTGGGATTTTCAAAAGCATGTCAGTTAGGGTTACCATATTTGAAGATTGAAAAAAGAGGACACTCCACGGGGCCCTGGCCCTGCCCCAACTCCACCCCTTCCCCACCCCAACTCCGCCCCCTCCCCTGAGCACCCCGCATTCCCCTCCTCTCTCCCAGCCACACGAAACAGCTGCACCAATTCTAGAGTCGGGCACTCCACTAGTGTAGACTCCCATGACTTTAATGAAGCTGCTCAGTTTACACCAGTGGAGGATCTGCCCCGGTGCTCAGTTTTCAGGAGCGGTCAGGACACGCTGCTCACACTGGCCACATAGGTGTGTCAGTGTCTGGGAACAGAACCCCAGATCCTGGCTTCTAGTAGCTTGGTCTAACAAGAGACCACACCTTCCTCCCTTCCATGGCAGCAGTTAGATCATCTTAAGCCACTATGAACTTATAGACGATGACTGCACATTGTAATAATTTGCCCTCTGCCTCAGGTCTTACAACACACATGGCAGGTTATAGTCATCCAAAAACTGCTATACCCTACTGCTTCAGCATGCAGTGAATTTAGTACTTCTGAATGATAGCTGATTGAAACCCA